GGGGGGGGGGGGGGGGGGGGGGGGGGGGGGGGGGGGGGGGGGGGGGGGGGGGGGGGGGGGGGGGGGGGGGGGGGGGGGGGGGGGGGGGGGGGCGGCTTGTTTTACAACGTCGTTGCCAAGCGATGCCAAGAGACGAAAACCCAACCCCGATGGTAAACACCGGGGGGGACGACTCCAGGAGGGGGCGATAGAAACCGCTGGCCGCGCAAACCCCATCCCTCTGCGGACGTTCATCTAATCGTTTCGGACCTCTCGGGCATCTACGAGCAACCCAGTATAAGGCACAACAACAGTTGAGGAACCTACTTTCGTACTTGGCAACCTGGCTTGTACGTTTTGATGGGAAATCCGCCCATCCGAAAAAGAAAAAAGGCACGCAACACACACATGGGTCTTAACTACAGCAGGCATGGGGCGGGGTCATCCAACTCTCTGCCGGCCCCATCATGGTCTTGATGATACAGATTTTTTTGTTTGGGGGGGGTAGGCAACTCACGGCAGGATACGGTCAACCCGCCGGCGTGATACACCGATCGGCACGAACCCTGGGTTGCGATATTCGAAACTCGACACCATCCGGACAGCGACAGGCTTTGTACCCATACGCAACGACACAAGAATGGCAGCGAGTGCTTCTTGTGAAACCCGTCGTCGAAACCTTTCCGCCACCGCTCCCCCGATTAATTTGTCTCGGTAGACTCTTGGCCCAGGCGGTGGACGGCCGTGCCGCGGCGGTCCTCAACGCCGAGGCGAGGCGATTCTTGCCGGCCGCTCACCGCGAGTGGTTCAAGTGTCCCGTCAAGGTAACCGCTGGAGCTGGTGGGGCGCAGCTCGTGCGGAGTAGGAAACAGTTTGGGGGGGGGGGGGGGGGTTACTGGCTCCGTGATAACCAGAAAGTTTATTATTTTTCCTTTTTTGGACTAGGAGGGGCCCTGTGATGCGGCTTTCTGTCCTGACCTTGCCGGTTCTGGAATGCTGGTGGTACGGTACACGAACCATTTGGCCTAGCGGTATGGTACACGAATAGTATGGCACCGGAGCCGTGGCTTCCTCTGTTGGTTTGCTGTGTACGTGCTTTTCTGCCTGAATTTATGCCTTTTTGCCAAGTCCGGGGTTCGCGGCAAGCGGGTTTTACTTCTGCGATTAACATGGGTGCCATCATATATACAACGGACAGAAAGCCGTACTGCTTACACAAGCTTTCCAAGCATGCAGCTGATTCCGTGTGTTCCACGGAAGCAAAACCCTGTTCGACTCGGTGCCTCTCTAGTGCCGGGCTTCTTACTGTTGCCGCTGCTGCTGCTGTTTGTGCTGCCGCTGCAGGGTGTTGTTGCCACCCCGCGAGCCAACAACCCGTTCTATCTCCCGCGACTCAGATCGTTGGAAGTTCTGGAGTTTGAGGTGCCGGAGGCGGTGCAGAAACGGTTTCTGCAGTGAGTGTGTTGCAACGGAGCCTTATTGATTTTTTGTGCATCTGATCTCGGGTAATGCGCATCGGCGCAACGTTGGTCGTGTTGTCAGCCAGCCCCGCGCACTCGTTGTTGGTCCCGGCCGCGTGGCGCAGGCTATGTCAAGTCGAGAGCTTGACAGGGTCGGTGTGCATGAGTGCTCTCCGGTTTGTGTCGTTCCGTTCAGATGTCGTCCGTCACCTGTCGGTGTATAGTATTACATAGCGTGGCTCGACACAGAAGGAGTGCATACAGTACATGCCAGAAGCAAAACGCGCGGCCGCGCCGGCGAAAACAGCACATGGCCTGGGCAATAGCCAAAAACCATTTTCACCTTCCACACACAGGGCTAGAAGTACTCGGCTCGTGCTGTTATTCGATGCTGGCACCAGACATCCCGTGATACAACCCTTTTCCGCACACGGTCCGCCCCGTGCCGCCCTGACACTACGCCACGTCACTGCCAGGGGCGCGGAGTCGAGAGTGCCGTGGCTGGTGCGCGACCACCGAGAGATCATGGCCCTGGCCGGGGTGAAGGTCGGCCCCGGTCGGCTGGACGACTACGTCGCGAGGTACTCGGCCCTCATGTGGCTGGAGGAGAGCCAGATGTCCTGGGACGTCCACCAGTACGACCTGCACGACGTCAGGGTCAC